TATCTCCACAGGATCATCACCGATCGTTTAAAACATGTGCTGCACTCTCATTGGTGGAAAAATGGCAGCACAGCAAACAAAAATTAATCGATAAGTTGTTAATTGAGTAATTAAAAAATGGGACACCTCTGATTTTGGTATGTTTGTTTTGATCAAAATGAGCACAAAATTTCATCTCTAAAGAGGGGGCAGCAAAACGACAAAATTACATTGAATACGGGGGGTATTCACTGGATGAAAGGGACCGTGAAAGAGGACACTCAAATAGAAAGTTTTTCTTCTGACAGTTTCATCTTAGTATTTATCTTTGGTTCTATCTTCGGTCCCAAGCTAGTCGAATCACCCCTCGAAACATAGGAAAATCCGATAAACCCACATTTTATCTGTCAAACTTTCATAGCGAATCAAAACAAACATTGCGTAGTACTAGAATTTCGACTAGAATGGGGTACGTTAATCGATTTGCTTGGGACCAATAGGCTAGTCAAGTAGTGAGCCTATTTTAAATCGTTAGTTTCGTATTGATTGTTGCTATTACTGTTACGGTCAGTAAGGAAATTCAAAAAAAAAATACTGATGTTGGCGTCAAAATAACAAACTAGGGTTATTTTGGGGGCGACACATCCAAATCTCAATTCTAGATGCGCAACAAATCTCACACTATCGAATCAATCTTCGAAAAATCTTCATTAATTTCTCGCATCTTCTTGCATCGCGCATCATGTTTTTGCAGGAAATCTTCAGAATCGTCATCAATCTTCTCTCTATCTACGCAGTGTTTGCGTAGCTAATCACAGCAAAACACATTTTTTCCTGCATTGTAGATAGAGTCGCCCCCCTCGGGTAAATACGCCTTTTTAATAGAAACTAAGCGATCGATTCAACCTCTGGTGGTGAATATGAGAACGTCAAAAAGAGTGTTGTGAGCTGAAATTTTTGCCTTGAGACATTGGAAGCGGAACACATTTTCACTTTTCCTGATAAATTGACCACAAAACCGATTTCACAAAACTGTACCATCTAATTTTTTTTTTATGAAACGCACAAATGTCGGTTACTTTTCGTGAGGTTCTAGAAGAAAAAATCTCAAAATAATGTTTTATTTCAAAGTTTGAGTGGTAGTAGACGTCATTTTAACTGCTCGAATGAAGTGGTTAATTGATTCATCTGAGATGCTCGAAAACTTGATCCACCGACAAACCGACAGGACACTTAATTCTGACTTATGCCCGAAAATCGCAAACGGCCGATTTAAATGTGCAGTAGACTGATGCAAAATTTGACTTTTTCGCTCCACAGTGCTTAAATGGTTTCAAATCGGGTCCTGATTAGCCTCCCAAAGTTACAACTCATTTGGTTAGAAACAGACTTCGCACAAGCCATTTGAAGTTTACATGTAAATTACTATGGGAAATCTCAACTTTTTGTTCATCGCCTTCTAGTCTTTTTCCATATATAGCTGCGAAACAGTTCGATAGCCATTCTTATAGAAAATTTTCTCAGCTACAACTTTGCTGAAGATCGTTTCTATGTAAAACGAGACAGGAAAAAGTTATTAATTATTTAAGTGATTGGTAAACTTATGACATGATCAAGCAGCTGCTCTGTAGGCAACACTGTATTTTACAGTGTGACATAGTAGCCATGATTTTTGTGTCCTACTCAACGCCCCAGAAACACCAATGTTGCCTGCTGAGCAGTTGATTGGGCATGATCATAAGACATCAGCGCATTGAACCATTGATAACTTTCGATCCTTGCATTTATTCAAAATGTGGTCTTCAGCAAAGTTGTAGCTGGGAAAATTTCCTTCATGTACAATTGAAAATTTTTGAAGCAGACTAATATGGTGAATTATTAGATAGACATGAACAAAAATCTTGGTTTTACCATAGTAATTCCCATACAAACTTCAAATGGTTTGTGCCATCTCAGTTTCTCACCAAATGGGTTCAAATTTTGAGAGGTTAGTCAGGATCCGATTTGAAATCGTTTAAGTATTGTGGAGCGAAAATTTCAAAATTTGCATCACTCTAATACTGATGTTGGCATCAAAATAACAAACTAGGGTAAATACGATGGGGGCGACACATCCAAATCTCAATTCTAGATGCTCAACAAATCTCACACAATCGAATCATTCTTCGAAAAATCTTTATTAATTTCTCGCATCTTCTTGCATCGCGCATCATCTTTTTGCAGGAAATCTTCAGAATCGTCATCAATCTTCTTTCTATCTACGCAGCGTCTGCGTAGCTAACCACAGCAAAACACATTTTTTCCTGCATTGTAGATAGAGTCGCCCCCCTCGGGTTAGAGTCGGTGTATAATGAGTCACGCCAAGAGTGAAGCCAAGTCTACCTATTGAACTGTCAAATCGGCTACCTATCGTGCAAAGTAAATAAACATTACGATGCTATGAAAGGTCTACGAAAGGTATTGCAATGAAATATAAAATAAAATTGAAGAAATCATCATAAACACGCAGCGAGCATTAAATGGTCATGGGATGCGTTTGGTTTTGATCAGTAATGAGAATTTCTACTATTTTTTGATAAGATAATTTGACAAAATCACTGATATTATGATTCACTACAGCCGTTATTTTTGGTTCTCGCTAGAAGTCATTTAAAGTTGATGTAGAAGTCCTCTGTTGCCAAGTGAAAAGAAAGAGAATCCTTCGGAAACCGTGATGCGAGTTCAACTGTTTTTCTCTTGGCGTGACTCATTATACACCGACTCTACCTCGGGTAAATACGCCTTTTTAATAGAAACTAAGCAATCGATTCAACCTCTGGTGGTGAATATGAGAATGTCAAAAAGAGTGTTGTGAGCTGAAATTTTTGCCTTGAGACATTGGAAGCGGAACACTTTTTTACTTTTCCTGATAAATTGACTACTTTGTCAAGCAGTTTTGGCGTGACTTTCTACCAGTGATTTCACAAAACTGGACCATCTAATTTCTATTTTTTTTATGAAACGCACAAATTTTGGTTACTTTTCTCGAGGTTCTAGAAGAAAAAATCTCAAAACAATGTTTTATTTCAAAGTTCGAGTGGTAGTAGACGTCATTTTAACTGCTCGAATGAAGTGGTTAATTGATTCATCTGAGATGCTCGAAAACTTGATCCACCGACAAACCAACAGGACACTTAATTCTGACTTATGCCCGAAAATCGCAAACGGCCGATTTATATGTGCAGTGGTCCGAACTGTCAAAACCATAGGATTTATTGTTCTAGATAAAAATAATTTGTCCAGTATGGATCAGACACGAACCAATTCATAACTTTTGCATGCGGACTCATGGCTTAGTTAAATATTTTTCGCGAACACGGAGCCAGATGTCAGTAGTGTGCTTTGGTCAGAAATTTTATTGTTTTGCTATGGTCATTCATGTCGGTTTGTCGTTGCTTGATCTACAATTGAAAAACTTAATTCTGTATAATTTTTGCAAGGATTCTGCTAGTGTTCATTTGTTGTATTTTTGTTGAGAAAAATGCAAAATTCCAATAGTGCCTTAGTGGTTATGATCTTGTGTGTGAATAGTTTAGGTGCAAATCAGTTCAGATTTTTTGAAAATCGTAAAATATAAGAATTACTGATGGAAACTGGCAAGATGTTCAATGAAAAATGCTTTAAGTTGCGTTGTGAAAAATCCTTCTTCTGATGTAAACAAACGGTTTGGTTGACGTTTACTCTCGAACTCGGGTGGTGCCCTCTACGTTGGTGGTGCATTAAAAAGGTCTATTGATAGTTGAATATGTGCTAGATAACAACACCCATTTCATCACAACAACAGGTTTGTTGATCATTGTTATGGCAACAACATATTAATTTATTTCAACGTTTAGAACTATTGCCGTCTCAGGAAAAATAATTCGACGCAACTGACAGCCACAGCATGCTATTAAAGCTGATAATCTAACGCTATTGTTAATTTTGCTAATGCTAATTTTTCTCTGAATTGGCAATATTAGAACCAAAGTTAGGGCGATGTTAAGGTCAAATTGAATAAATTCAATTTCCTATAGCAATTCGCCAAAATCTTCACACAAACTTTAAATCATTTGCCTCGTCATTTACGCGACCTCTAAACCTTCATTAATCTTTACCACTTTTGGTTTTGCAGGCGGCAAGCCTTTTGTGACTACTCAACTCCAAAATTAGCGTGATTTAAGCCGGACGAGATAGGGACATTTCCATACAGCAAGTCGTATGACTTCTTTCCGCCTTTAGTCGATATGACAATTGAGCGTATCATGAATGCATGAATGCTAGCCAAAACGGCACCATGAAGCAATCATATGTAAAGATCAAGAGGATTTACTGCACGTCTTGTTAAGTAATAGTGCCTGTATTTCTACCCAGTCAGTGTCCAGCAATCAGAGGTTCCTCGCGGCCTCAGAGCTAGAGGGTGGAGCACTATTTCGGCATATGGGACCCATTTCCGTCATACGCATCAAAACAATGACGAGACAATCAGCTACGAGTTGCTTACGAGTTAAATTATGAATGTTGTAAAAAATGATGTCGAAGTGACGTGAAGTATACCGAAATGGTGTCGTACCCTATATAGGTTAACCCCAGCCTGAGGTCAGAGCGTGGTTCCTGCCTTTTGTCACTCGTACCGAATGTCGTTTAAATGGAAGAATTCAGGAACCCGCCCGACATTTATTGGCATTTTATGACGGTGGTAAGGTCGTAATATAAAATCAGCTTTCGTCCCATTCATCTTCTTTGCCGTTGGCGTTCCTTACGGATCGACATATGAATAGCCGCTGCTGCTATTTATAAGCCGATGGTATGCGTAAGAAAAATGAATATGCATTAACCACAACCGGTCTGCGGGGACTAAGACCGGAGTGAACCTCGTTTCGGATGCGGATTTTTTTCCCAAATCGCTCCTAAACCGTTAGATGAGTATCGATCGACGAGATGAAGAAGAAGAAGAAGAAGAAGAAGAAGAAGAAGAAGAAGAAGAAGAAAATGAAACCTACCTCGAGCTTATAGGCTTCGCACATGATCACTTGTGCCACCTTGTCGTCGACGTCAGCAATGATGATCCGGGCGTTCTTTGCTTTCAAAGCCAACAGGTACTGTGGAATAGAATAAGGAATTCGCGGTAAATTCGATTTTCATACAAATGCATTTTTGATCCTACCCGTTTCATTTCGGTTTCCCCTCGGTCGCGGGGGAACTTTTTATTCGATATCAGTTCGATGTGGTTCTCCTTCAGCAACGTCTCCATGTGCGAAATGTACTCGGTGGATTTTTGTCCATCCTCGGTCAGGGCAGCAACGCGATTCCAGTTGAGCTGATGCAACAGCCGTACGTACACATGTTCGTACTCCCGGTTCTCGCCGATTGTACGGAAAAAGTACGGATACGTTTCCCGATCCGATAGGAATGCTCCCTCGGCGGAGTAGGAAATCACGGCCATCCGAAAGTGCTTGGAGACACCTGTTGAGGATAATCGTAAAAAAAATATAGCAATTAGATCATGGACCTTTCCTCTCATCACTCTTAACTCACCTGCAATCGGTTCGACTGTGTCACTGCACGCCGGTCCCAGGACACCAATCATTCGCTCTTGCATAATGTAGTAATTGATGAAGTTTTTCATAACCTTGTCAGCACGGCACTGACCGTCGCTCTTCAGAATGATGAGTTTATGATTTGGTAGTATGGTGTCGTTGTTATTAATCGCATCTTGAGCCATGATTGCTGCGGGCATTATCCCCAGATAGGCTCGTCCCAGTCCCGACAGGGGGAAAATTCCGCCAATATAAATTTCCTCCTTCTCCTCTCCCATAGGTTTCCACTTGTGCCAGGCGGGTTCATTCGCCTCCAGCCATTCGCATGCTATTTGGTTGTAATATCTCGACACCGCATGTTCGTCGTAGTCCAAATTTGTTTCATCGCGTGCCTGCAGGATCTCGGTTTCGTATTTGTCATACAAATCGATTAGTGCCTGTATGCCTGTCGTATCAAAATAAACCCGCAGCAGTGACTGGAGAGCATGCTGGGACGACTCGAACTCGTGAGCGTGGTACTTCAGCAGCGGTGTTAGCTCATACTTGCAGCCGGTGTTGTTACTAACGACGATGTCTTCACATCTCGGCATTGTCACCGAGACGTATTCCATCGTTTTACTATCGATTACCTCCGACGGTGTCCAGTGTAACACGAGAAACTTTTTCGAACCCTTCCTATCGTTCCCGTAGACGCCCATCAGATGTCTGATGCCGAGCTTAATTTTTCCACCCAACCATATGACCTTTAGCTGAAACTTTAGCTCCGTAATGTGTTTGACGATAAATTTCGTATCCTCGTAATGAGGAGCCACCACAAGGGCACACTTCTTCCCTTCGGCGCACTGTTCCGGCACGTACATCCCATCCTGGTTGCAATTATTTTCGCACCTCTTCTCCGCCCAACCCTTCAGCACATCCAGCACCCCATCCGCCACGTCGAATTTCTTTATCAGCTCATAATACTGTCGGTCGTTCAGGTCCTCCTGGAACATCGTGTACGGGTACAGCTTCGGGAAGACATCCTCCTTCCGGATCAATGGCTTCGGAATGAACAATCCGAATCGACCCGGGTTGGTTATGGAGCCGGCTTCTTCGATTTCCGGCGGAATTATGTGATAATCGGAGAGCATCCACACTTCCAAATCGATGGTCGGCTCCGGCCAGTTGGTGCCGTCTCTGCGTCATCATCGCCGTCGTTGCGTGAAGGAGAGAAGTAACAAAGTTGGAAAGCAAGAAATTAATGCCAATGTACTTCACCAACTTGATTTAGTATGCTTTGGGGACATAAAATCGGATCGATAAAAAAAATGGGGGCACTCATGTGGTGGAGTAGTAGACTGAGGTTAAAGTCGCAATATGGATGGCTAATTTTTTATTGGTTCTATCTTTTTGGGGGAATTTTTCATACTTTTATTTTCCGTTCGATTTACTAGGGCAGATGTCAAGGATGATGTTATATGTACTCATCAATGAATGGCAAGCATTGTATATTTAACTAATATTTCATTGAAGATGTTGGATCTTTGTTGGAATGGGTCAAACTCTGAATGTGAAAAAGTGAAGTGAAAACCTTAGATTTGATAAAAAAAATCAGATCTTGAACATGGAAAAAATTACAATTTCAAGATTATAAATTTTTAAGATTCTGGGACATATGAATGATTTTCGAAATATCAGATTTGGAAAACATTTAACGAAAGCGGACCTATGAAACATCAAGATTCCAGTCATAAATGATTTTCAAATGGAAAAAATTGAAACCTGAGGAAATTTTTTATTAATTCAGGAAAATATTAGATGCTGAGATATAGAAAAGAACATTTCCAAATAACAATTACCATGTACCTATTACGCTTTATTATTTATTGTTTTCAAGATCTCGGGCTTGGTAAATTCAAAACCAGACAAACAAATACTTAAAAATTCTTTAATTTAAGAATTTTTGTAATCTTCGATACAGACAATTGTTAAACATCTTGTATAAAGTGAAATGCACAAATCTTGGACTGTAAAATGGATAAAATGGATCACTATCCGGCAATTACGAAAAAAAAAAAATGATACTAAGACAGATTGATTTAAAACATAATAAAATCAGGCTCAGCAATGCTCAGGATATATTTGAATAATAGCAGACGCCAACAGACGAATCGATTTTATTTTTCCCTCTCTGAATTCCATGAAACTTTGCCCAATTAATTATTTTGTCAAGCTTCTGCATTCATGTTCAATCAGATGTCACTGCTGTTGTTTGCGGTGACATATATCGGAAACTACACACAATCTGTTTTCCCATAATTGTTCACAAAGGACACTGCAGTGCAAAACATGTCTTATTTGCAGTCGGATATGATCGATAATGCAAACGCTCCTATAGTTGCGGTACGTTAGAAGCGTTAGGTTCCTATAGTTGTGTATGGAGTCTCCATACACAACTATAGGAACCTAACGCTTCTAACGTACCGCAACTATAGGAGCGTTTACCCTATGCAGCTTTAAAAAGTTTTTCGGGGATGTGAAGCTGGAATTGGAGCGTTTTGCCAGAGAAAATATCCGAGTTTTATATTAACCGGATGAAAATGCCAGTTTGGTCTATATCCGAAATTCGGAGCAGTTCAAACTGGTTCCAAGTCATATTCAACTCCTTAAAGGCTTTGCTCTAAAGCTACCTGAGAAACCCAAACAGTTCGAGAAAGTAAGTAATGGATCAATTTGTGTTTGCGTACAGCAAAACCAGCTCGTGTTGCTCAACAACGCATGTATTTCTTTACTTCTAACCTATTAATGTTTATTCCTTTATGTTTACCTTTTTAAGATTCATCAAAAACACCACACTGAAACTATTTTGCGATGCGAAGCAAGGCAGGAAACACGCCAGGATCACGTTGTACAGGCGTCTTCTACCTCACCTTCTACCAACTCTACCATTGTTAATGGATCCGGGATCATGAATGACATCCGTGGGGATAATCATATCGGGAAACCGAAAAATGCTGATGCTCACGTAAAGACAATCGATATGAAAATTCAGCGTTAGATTACGGCTAAGAAATTACGAATGCCCAGTTCGCATGCAGAAGTTAAGGTTAGCGGATACCGTCGGACTACCGTAACATGTTGGTACTGCTCGAAAGCAGTTGTTTTGAGCAGCCGTACTAACAAGAACGGTACATGGTATTGGATAATTTCAAACTTTACGCAACATATATTAGACCATCTGCAATCGCGACCAAATGTGACAATCGCGTCCTATTTTAAGTTTCCTGGACCATCATTAGAACGTGGAATCGAGCATAATGCTAACGAGCCAGGACTATCATTGGAACGTGAAATCGAGCATGACACAAACGAGGCTGTCCAAGGAGCCAACATCTCCTCTCAAGAGAAGGGAAGTGGTTCCGTTGAAAATCACGAAGATAATCCAGCAAGTCAGATGGCATGTGTCAGAGACGAACAAGCCGAAGGCTAAAAATCTCTTTAATAAAGATATAAAAAAAAGATGGCATGTGAATATTACGAAGAATATTTAGATCAAGAACAGACGATCAACGATTCTGAAGTAGATTTGCACGAAAGTTCATTCGCTTATACTGTAAAACCCGAGTTCTATGCTGATACGTAATATCTAATACGCTTGATAGTTGTCATTCACTCTGTAATTCATAAGGGAGAATAAAGCATATATTACAGTTACAAAGTATATTTTATTCTGCTCTTTTATTTAATCATGTGTTCTTGTTATAGGCGAGGTTATAGGGTTGCTACATAAACATTAGGGGTAAGAGGGGCATAGTAAACAGGTGGGGCATAGTGAGCATCCCGTGCACCAGCTTGGACTTCCAGCCGTTTGGAACAAATTGATCGGTGGTAGGATCAATATCAATGATATTGGACCTACTACCAGTTGATTTGTTTCATGCAGCTAGAGATCCAGAGCCAAAGTGTGGGATGGTCACTATGCCCCTCTTACCCCTACATCTAGGAGTTAACTTGAAATTATCCAAAGAAGGCTTCTCGATATGGCTAACATAACGATCTATGTTAATTTTAGCAGCATCTGAAACGATGAAGAATTTTATAAGAAGCTTATAAAAAACCAACTGATGCTTATGCTATTTTCACTTATGAAAGATTTTATGATTGCCTTGAAGTATAAAAAAAGCAATATGAATTGCCCTTATAAAACCCAAAAATAAATCCTTTTATTGCTATATAAGTAAGCGCAATAAAACTAGTTGGCCATGTTACAGTTATTTAAAAACAATTAGAAGCATTCAGTTGCAACTTGTCAGAAGTGCGGTTTGTTTTTACAACATAGAAAGAATTAAAACTTTCCGGTACTTCCAAGCGGAGCGCAAAGAAAATCAACAAAATTTTTAGCATGAGCCCGTTTATTTGCTACAGTCAGCCGCAAACCTTCGTGAATAACTCCAACCAAGAAAAAAAATGCCGCTGCATTTTCTGCGGATGTCACAAAGGAAGCTGTAAAGAGTGTGTCTCCTCACCATTCTGAACCATCTTCACTTCGAATGGACACATAGCTACACCAAAAATGACTCATGAAGAGGAAATATATAATTATCTGGAGTCGCAGGATGATACCTATGCCAACTTGCGTCTCTTATCAGATTTACAGTCGTGGATGGTCACAACAATTCAACAATCAGCATTGAAAATTTTCTTTCCATTTTTTTTTTCAAGAGGTGACGCCTGCGAATCTTGGTCGATATACAAACAAATTGAAATCACGCATAACTTTTCATAAAGTTTAATGTACCATTCAAAACTTTTCCAAATGTTTGTAAAATTCATCGGTTGCACTCGTAGAATAGGAATATACGTCAAATAACAAAAAAAAAATGAAAAGCTCTTGTAAAAAGAAAATAGTCCTCGAAATAAAATCATGCATTATGCTTTTCTGTTCTGCTTCCATCCAATGTAAGCATTAGGGAAAATCTTGCTAATAAAGCAAAAAAAAGTAAGCATTAGACATTTTAAGAAATTTCGCTTGGTGTTTTCTTGCCTGCTGTCCTCAAGATTGTCATTATGAAAATGCCATTAGCCTTGGAATAAAATCCAAGAAATTTCAATAAAATAATGGCTAAATTAGAGATCCGAACTGATTTTCAGTGTGCATTGGTATGAATTTATTTATTGAGATCTATTTTCTGTAAAATCAAGATGATTCCATCAAATTAATTTGATTTCTAAAACAATCTTTTTTGTTAACTTGAATTATTTTTGAGGCGCATTTATTTAACGCTCATATTATATACACGATAAAATTTCAAGCGCACATGTTTTGGAACTTCTAAAAAGGCGTATATTTTCTTTAAGATTTTCACTAATGTCGCCATGAAACAAAATTGATTGCATGGTGATCTTGACACCAACACTCAAATCTATTTTTACAGCTAAAGATTACCATATTGGAAAAAAAAGTTTCAGCAGAACAGAACAACAACAAGCTAATTTATGGCGGTTGCTTTGTTGCAATATAAATTAAATTGGATTTATAACTGATTTTCACCAAAGCGTAATAAAACTGCTTGGATACAATATTACTCTTAAAGAGGCTATGAGAACCTTTTGTATAGTATGGGGCTTTATTGGGTTGAGCTAGCAGGTTAAATAATAACACCGGAATTTATTGGTTTGATAATAAAAGTAAACTGATTTATTAAACACATGTGTACAGTTCGAGAGAAGAAACGATAATCAGCAAAATGGGCGATCGCAGTAGACGGTGCGATCGCATAGAAAAGCGTCTCTCATTTTAAGTTGTGCTTTCGCTATGACAGCACGCAAACAAGCTTTGCGCTGCTGGGTTCGGCCGTTTGGGGGTTCGGCAATTGTTGCCTCCCATCCCAATACTCTTCCTCAACGATTGTCAGCATCAAAACCAAGCATCGAAGAAAATTTCAATAGCTTGATCCTGCCCAACGGTTTGGTGAGTACGTTCGCCACCATCTCTTCGATCGGACAGTAGACCAACTCAAGAATCTTTCCATCACAAAGTTCTTTGACGTAGCATTCCCTAGTCTCGATCCGACAAACTTTATTTATTTATTTATTTATTTATTTATTTATTTATTTATTTATTTATTTATTTATTTATTTATTTATTTATTTAATTATTTATTTATTTATTTATTCATTTATTTCGTCAACCAACG